GCCCAGAGATCACCGAAGAAGCTATTGTGGATGATGCAACCTGCAAATGTGGACATTAATACCAATCCCAGTATTGGCTAATGGGGATGAGGAGACGGGGGGGAGGGGAGGGAGCTGCATAAACAGATTCCCCTGCCTTCTTCCTTCCTCCTTCCATGAACTACTCTGAGCCATAACTTGTCCTTGCAGCCCATATAGGGAAAGCTCTTTGGGGGGTATCACTTCCTACTATGCCTATCTAGATGAGAAGCCCCACTTCTCTAGTTTCTGGTTTTTTATTTAAAAAGACCACCTAACATTTCATGAATTTAGGAACTTTCAAATTTGAGAGGTTTTGAAGAGAATTGCATGCCAAAACTGCAGCTCTGCCATCTTTCTGACTTAATTCCTTCCTCATCTTTCTGGAGCAACAAATTCTTTCTCAATCTTCCTGAAGAACAGTTCTGGCTACATTTGGCTCCTCTGGGATCTTATTTTCTGTGCCAAGCACCTATTTGGATATTTCCTTTCTCAAACAAATGGAATTGCCTTCCCATGAGGGATTCTGATAAATAAAATTTTCTTATCTCACTGTATGATTATTTTTAAAGAACTCAGAAACATACCAATAAAAGTATAAAATTACCCAAACTGTTACAAATTTTGTAAAATTATTACAAAACTGTTAACATTGGCAGTTTTTGTCCCAGTCTTTATATGTTTCATAACTTGCTCATTCTGTGCATAGATTTTTATACTGATTTAAAAAAATGTTTTGTATTCTATTATGGAAAAATTCATTGGAATTTTAATGAAATTAAATAGACTTTTATTATAGAATGTAAATGAGCCAAAATTTATTCAAAAACCTAATTTTCAATGGTTTTATAATATTTTTCATGTGGGCTAACATCTAAAGTTTTCCCTATGGTTGGACAATTTGGTTTCCTTTTTATTTTTATTGTCCTCAATTATGCCATAATAAATATTTTGGTACATACATCTTAATCTGGCCCTGGCTGGTGTGGCTCAGTGGATTGAATGCTGCCCTGCGAACCAGGGGGTCACTGGTTCAATTCCAAGTCTAGGGCACATGCCTGGGTTGTGGGCCAGGTCCCCAGCTTGGGGAGTGCAAGAGGCAGCCACACATCCATGTTTCTCCCCTCTCTTTCTACCTCCCTTCCCCTCTCTAAACATAAATAAATAAAATCTTAAAAAAACATATTGATCTGTATTTTTAATCATTACATTATAACAGGCAATTAGATGAGAAATTAGTGAGTCAGAGGATGATATTTCAAGGCTCAAGACGTCTAGTGCTAAATTGTTTCCAGACAAGTTTCTTGAAAAGGGGCCCGTATGATTGGACACATGATTTTTACAGATAACTCAGAATGCAAAGTCTATGGAAAAGGTGACTAGAACTTGAACGATAGCGATCAGGATTGCAAGTGTGTGAGGGTAGAGATGTAGGTAGAGTTCACGAATATTTCTAAAATAGTCAAAAGGAGTTAGTAACTGGATATTGGGAGGTGAGAAACAGTGAGGAACCAAAGACAATTGCTTAGCTTTCCTACCTGCCTAATTGGGGAAAATTCGTTAGTATAGAAACAGAATATCATTTGCTTTTCAATTTCTTTGGCTTGCCTGCATCTGGGCTAGCTTTAGAATTTTTTTTTAGAAAAGGGTCTTCAGATGGCAATGCGGTTAGAAGTCTTGTCTTTAAGCTGCGTTTATTTAGCAGACACCTGCTTTTTTTAAATTTGGATTTTATGCATATTTGGGTATATAAATCGAGGTCGGAGAATGATGAATTATCAGAGGCAGCCCTAGGCAGGCACTGCTGGCATCCATTCCTTCTTATTCTTCTATTACCCCTTCAGTTTTCCTTAGGGGGTTCAGCCTTCTCCCACTCCCCCTTTTTGTGGTCTTAGTGCTCCTAACTCAAGTTAGCCAATCAGAGCCAATGGGGCTGAAGTCCGGGAGATCCCAGGGTTGCTGCTGGAAAATGCTCTTCCCACGGGAGTTGAGAAGAGGACAGGATGTAGGTCTGGAGCTGCTGGCAGTTGATTGGCTGGTCTGGAAAAAGAGTCAACCCCAAGGAAAGCAGAAGTGAATTGATCCTAATGACCTTGTTCTGATGGCATCACTTAAGCCCTAGGGTCCACATGCACTGATGACAACTCTAGGACTTTCAGTTCCATGAGGTATTAACATTTCTTTTTTATCTTAAGGCATTTGAGGGAGCCTCTGTCACATACAACCAAAAGAAGTCCTGAAGTCTTGGCTGATACAGTATCGGAGACCAGAAAAAGTCCCTACTTTTCAGAAGTTTCAGCTATTGAAGGTGGGATCCTATTGTAACTACATGAGTATTCTGTTTTATATTTAATGGCCGACAAAGGTGTATGGAGTATCTACTGCAGTGCCAGGCACTGTGTTAGGCTTCATACACAAAACAGGTGAATTAAAGCTCTAGTTACAAAAACAGTTTCATGAAGAGCTTATTAAAACATCATTACAGTCCTAAATTGGCAAATTAGCTAGCTAGAATAGTGTGAATTTTGGCTTTTAGGTTTTATGTACACTTTGCCTTATTTCTCTTTTCTAAATATAAGGGCTGCTAAAATCAGTAGCCAGCAGATAATTCATTGGCTTTAACTTCAAAGACATTTCTAATGTCTGGAATAGAAAACTCCATACTAAGAACCCAAGTTTCATGATACCAAAGGGTATGGTAGCTTATATGTAGAATGTGTAACACGTGCCTTCTCACCGATGTGTAGAATTTGAGGGTCTGCCCCTGCGTCCTCATTTCCATTACTTTCAAAGGGTACAGATGGTGAAGTCTCATTTATCAATGAAAACTTGATTAGACATTCTGATGTGACATTAGTAAGAGATTATATAAAGTTGTAGGAGTAAGAACTAATCAGGTTTTTTCCCTCTAATATTTATGAATGTTTCATTTTCCAGCCAGTTTTGTGCCTCAGCTGTCTCTTTTGGTCTTGGGTTGGCCGTTGTGGATGGTTTAATTAAGAATGTTTTTGCTTCGCACTCCACCCTTGGGTCATTAAAAACCATAATGGAAAATATGATAGTGGAAAAATATTTAAATCTGTTATTAATATGACTACCGAAATGTGTATCAAGGGATTCAGAACACATTGTGTTGAAAAATCTAAAACACACAGAAAAAAGTATTCACCATCCTGTATCTCATAAAAACTACATGTACCAGTAATCAACCAGCAATTAATGTACCACAAATGTATAGCAACAAAATACCCATCTTTTCCAAGGGCACTGCTTAAATTCAAATTATTCTTTTTCTCATCAGGGGTTTTTAGGGAACTCACTAGTGAGTTAGCAAACATATCCTTATTAAAAAACAAATATAGGTGACAAACACCATGGCACTGTGGTCTTCTGGCTGCAGAGCCACTTTCTCAGGCCTGAGTTTATTTTCTTTCAACCAGAAACCCAATCTGCATTCCTCTCTTTTTTCTGCTACGATTCTTGTTATCCCTAGCAGGAGATAAGCTATAGAATTGGGCATATTTTCCCCACTCCTGCTCACTACTCTCTTCTAATTCTTGGCTGCTTCTGAAAATTAGGACCCTTTCACTACAAGAATTTTGTGACTAATGACTCTAAGAATTGCAAAAATAATAAACTTGAGGACATCTGAAAGCTTGGGAATTTTATGAAGTCCTTACAGATTTTTCTACATCACAGTTTCTCACTAGCCTGTTAGATGGAAACAGTGAACTCCAGTGAATTGGATTTCTATTTTCAGCCTTCCTAACAGAGTTCACCAAATCTCACTTTTCAGTTTGCTTTCATGACATTTATGCAAATTCCTTCCTCTAATATGGCCCTTCTCCCCTCCATGTATACTGGAAGTCAACCAAAACTGCAAAGGTAACCAATCTCTTGTCTGAGATTGGTAATTTGCCTGGAAGTAGAGACTGTGTAACCTCCATTCCAAGGTACAGGTACCATATAGGAATCATCACGTTTGAGTAGTCCCCTTTCCTTAAAAGGATGCCAGTTTATTCTAGCTTTTGTCAGATTTCCAAGTTTTAGTATATCTCAGGGAAACCAAAACAGTGCTTTTTAGACACAGGATTCATGTTAGTAGTTAGAATTTCTTGTTGTAAACCTTGTGGCTACCATCCTGCACTTAAAACCTCTTAAAATGTGGATTTCAAATTATTTTTTGCAGGTACTGGTTAACCTTGGCCATATTTCTGAGAAGGGGACACCTAGGAAACAGTAGCAGGGGAATTGACACAGCCAGGAATCTATTGCATTCTGCAGGATCAAAATATTCAAGCCATTACTAAAATGCAAGTATCATGAATTTATTGGCGTTCAAAATAATACTTTTAAAAAATTCAGGTACCATAACTATTTATTAGTAAATCAGATCTGGCATGTTGTTTTACGGTCTAAATTCCTTTAGCTTTGAAGGTCACCTACATAAATGAGAAAACGTACAGTGAAGAAATCAGGTGTTATCCCCACTCAATGTCTGGTGTAGCGAGCACTATGAAACAGCAAGAAACAGACACACGGTATCAGGGGGGAAAAATGATGTTAGTGTTGGTGTTGATCTTCCCAGGCCTGACTGTAGTCCTGGCCGGGTACCGAGACCTGGCGAGACTAGCAGGCGTTTCCCCGGCGAGGACTCCCAGCAATAGGGTCCGTGGGTCGCCGAGAGTCCGCCCGCGACTTGGGCGTCTCCCTCAGGGCTCAGCTCCCCGAGCGCGGGAGAGTCGAGGTCAGGGCGCCACGGTAGCTGGTCAAGGCTGCGGGTGGCGGGGCTCGACCCTGGAGGAGCGCGACGGCGCAGGAGCGGCGACCTCAGAGAGGGCTCCCGGGATCACGCCGCGTGCTCACGGCCCCGCGCTGGGAGCGGAGGGGCGGGGCCAGCGCGCGCCGGCGCCGGCGAGTGGGCGGGGCCGCGCGAGGCTGCTTTTCTTCGTTCCCGGGCGCGCGGCGCGGGCTCGCGGGGCAGTGGGACGCGGCCGCGGCAGGGAGGGCGCCGCAGGTGGCTCGGGCTGGGAGCCGGGTGCGCGGGCGGCCGCCAGGAGTGGAGGCGGGAGGCGGGCCCGCACTCACCCCGCTCTCCGCCTCGGCGCCGCGGGCTGAGAGGAAGCGAGCCGGGGCGGGCGACGGGCGCGCGGCACCCACTTGACGGCCGGCGGCGCCCGCTGCTCTCGGCATGTTTCACGAGGCGAAGGTTTTCCTCCCTCCCGTGGGCTGAGGCGGCGGCGGCCAGAAGAAGCGACATGCACCTGCCAGGCGCGGTTTAGAGGACGCGGCCCGGCGGCAAGACCCGGCCGCCAGCCGGGCGGCTTTCTTCGCCCGACCGCCGCCGCTTGCGGCCGCCGCCGCGGGGAGCCAGAGCGGCGGGGTGGGCGCCCCGTCATGGCCGCCCGGAGCGCCCCGAGCTGCCACCTGCGGCTCGAGTGGGTGTACGGCTACCGGGGCCACCAGTGCCGCAACAACCTCTACTACACGGCGGCCAAGGAGATCGTGTACTTCGTGGCGGGCGTCGGCGTGGTGTACAGCCCGCGGGAACACCGGCAAAAGTTTTACCGGGGCCACAGCGACGACATCATCAGGTACTGGGGGCGGGGGCGGCAGCGGTCCGCGCGGCGCGCAGTTCTCGGAGTTTGCACTTGCCCGACCTTCTGGGTGCGGTGACCGCGTCCTGCGGGAAGCATCGCCCCGGAGAGCGCCCCGCGAGTGTCTCGTCCGGAACTCGCCCCGTTCACCCCCTACTTTCCCCATCTTTGGGTTCCAGAGTCTCCCTGGGGGCGGAGCGGTGACACCAAGCCCGCGACTGGCGTTCGGTTTTCTGTCTTTGCATCCTCCCCCCTCTAACAAATTTATGATACTGCAAAAAGGTTACTCGGGTAGCAGTGCACTCTAAATCCCGCCCCGAAATTTCTCATTAAACGAATTCGTAGAGCGCCGGCGGGGATCCTTTACCTAATGAACTGATCAAAACCAAGTACCGCCCGCTGTGGGCTGGTCCTGGGGAGCGCGCCCAGGTGCCGTGGTGGAGGGCACTCACCTCTGGACCATAATAATTAGTTCAGGTTTCAGCGCCTGCTGTTATCAACAGATAGGAAAGAAACCCTCAGGCAATTCATTGGACATTAACACCTAAAGGCAGTTTGGGAGTAGGTTATCACCCAAAAGACGCTACTAATAGCACTTCTACGGTTTTCCAATCCCCTTGTTTCCTCTTCTTTAAAATCCTCCTAAATAAGTTTCCTTTTGTATTTTCTGCTGAAATCACATTTTTCTCCATTTTATATAATTCTTCTTTGGGCGGAATCCTAAAGTCAGTTCTAGTGCTCGTTGACATCTCTGTAGTGAATGGTGGGTGTCTTTGAAGTGTAATTTTCAGTCAGTGTTTCCGCAGAACTTTTGTGACGAATAAAGTTAAAAGCTGCAGAAATTATTCTAGGCCAGCGATTTTCAACTGGTGCGCCGAAAGAATTTTTGAAACATGCAGTGCCTGACTGTTTAGTCAAGGACACTGACCTCTTTTCCTTTAGATTGTCAAATACAAAAATAACAACAGCCAACACAACAATAGCCTTCCTATTCGAGTGAGTCAAAATTATACTTTTTGTCAGATTGGCAAAAAATGTATTGTTTGGCGTGCCGCAGAAATTGTGTGGTGTACCATGGGATGAAAAAGGTTGAAAATCGGTGTTCTACGCCACTGATTACTGCTTCCTGTACAGCATACTTGTCCTTGACAGAAGCAGCATATATTTCAAATATTTTGATTCTGTGGTTGGATTTGGTTACTCCATTTTATTTCCTTATTTATGTTTACGGGATTTAAATTGGGCATTTCAAAGCCAGTATTAGAGTTTGGTGTGTCTTATAGGCAAGAAGCCTGATTTCCTTAAATAACAAAGTTGTTTCCTTTTTTAATATTGTGTGTCTGTACATCCTTGCTCTGTAAGGGTGAAAAGGAGGCCTAGGACACACACCAGGTCGCGTGAGATGGAGTAAAGATAAGCTGAGTGGGAACTGAGATTGTGGAATAGGGAGTCAGGGTGTTTGGGTTCATTTGTTTGTTATTAACCCCAAGAGTACACTTGACCCCAATTCTCTTGTCTTTTTCACTAATCCTTCCCAGTTTCTTTGTTGCCCACGTGTGATGTGAGGTTGCCCACAGTGTAAGGGGTAGGAGCTGTACCTGGTTAAAGCATCCCTCCTCTCCTTGGTCTACTAGGTTGAATTCATAGGTGGGGGAGGCGTCAAGGATTTTGAGGTCTTCTCAGAGTGTATTTCTGTTGTTGTACTCCTTGATGTTTGAGAGCAGTATGGTATGAGGGCCTTTTAAATCTAGGTATGATTTATTTGATGGTGTAAACTATGCTTTTGTTCTTCCAGCAGTAATTAGAAGCTATGCCACTTGTCACACTGCTTGAATTTCTATAATTGTGTCAGTTAACTCTAAGGAAGGTACTGTTTTGCCTTCTTTTGATATTTATAGTTGCACAATGCGTACATTATCTCAAAATATTACAAAATGGCAAATTACTCTGATTTTTGCCATAATTGGATATATGTTGTGATTTTATACAAAGGATTTATCCTTAAAACAATTTATGACAGTAAACACTTTCCTGAAAATTTGCAATAGAATAGTAAAATCTGAATCATGTGGCATCTTGAAATTGGTGGCACAAATGTAATACATCTAGTATTGCTATAAATGGTGCCACATGACTTACCATTTCCTCACTGTTGCTTGTTCTTTTTACTGTGTATTTCTGTTCTTCTCTAGTAATTTAGTCTTTAGTTGTATTTATGTTAGTACTGATTTATATAGAAATCAGTTTCACTCTCAGAAATAATACAAAACTTTTTTGACACTTTTTCTTGTTTTTATAGGGTGTGTGTGGGGGAGTAGGTTTACAGTTGGTTATATAGAAAATAGTACAAGAATTTAATCTGTTTCGCGTGCCCACAACTGTAAACCTACTCTTGTGCCACCCTGTATTCTGCTGCAAGTTGTAATGATGAAATTCTCTAATTTTTCAGCATTTATTACAGGTTTAAGACTAGGTTATACAATATGATAGATAGACTACTGATTTTAGTATAAGATGCACATTTATAGGTTAGTCTGTATTTTAAAACTTTTGCCAATTGTTTTCCCAAAGGATGTGATAGCTTTTAAAATTTATTTATGTATTTTTTAGATACTGCCCATCAACACATTTTTGACAAGTTCTTTTTTTTCAGATTTTATTTATTTATTTTCAGAGAGAGGGCAAGGGAGGGCAAAAGAAAGGGATAAAAATCTCTATGAGGGAGACATCTAGGAGAGAAAGAAACATCCATTGGTTGCCCCTTGCACACCCCCCCAACTGAGGACTTGGCCTGCAGCTGAGTCATGTGCCCTGACGGTGAATTTAACCAGTGACTTTTCAGTTCACAAACTGGTGCTCAATACACTGAGCCACACAAGCCAAGGCAGAAAAGTTTCTTCTTGAAGTAGTGATTATTATCGACAGTTTTGAAATCATTTACCACCAGTGAAGACCATTGATAGAATATAGTTGGTTTTCTTAGGTGAGTGAACCTCCCCATTGAACTGCCCGAGCCCATTGTTTATGTATTATATGTGAGTATGGAATTTGAAGTTGTTTTCTAAATGTGGTGAAAGTGTCTTACAAGTGGTGATGAGTTTAAATGACATAATGCATCTGAAATACTTTGTAAACTATGCTATATGGTTACAGGTTAGAATAATATTCATTGCTTCATTGGGTTGTCCAAAAAGTTTTTTTTTTTTTTTTTTTTTTTTTTCAGTAAGCTGGCTCTGCTAGCACTTAGTTGTCTTTAACTTCATTCAAAACAATTTGGTTGGATTGTATTTTAATGGCTGTCTTATCAGTGTGCATTTAAAAAGCTTACCAAACTGGTGAATTTTTGTGTAGCCACTTTAATATTGAAGATGGAAGGAAATATGCAACATTTTGGGCCTGTTACACTTTATTATTTCAAGAAAGGTAAAAATGCAACTGGAACACGAAAAAAGATTTGTGCAGGGTATGGAGAAGGTGCTGTGACTGATCAAACATGTCAAAAGTGGTTTGCAAAACTTCATGCTGGACATTTCTCACTGGACAGTGCTCCACGGTTAGGTAGACCAGTTGAGGTTGATAGTGATCAAATAGAGATGTTAATTGAGAACCATCAACATTCTACCATGCAGGAGACTGATGACATGCTCAGAATATCCAAATCAATGAAGTTATTGGTGAAAATAAAAATGTCTTTTATTCTACAGAAAAAAAACCATACAGACTCTTTGGCCAACACAATAGATACGACTTTTTTATTTTAGACAAAATGAAAGATGTAGCTCTTTTCTTCAGTTGTGGTAGTTGATAGTCTTAAGAAAGAAAACTGATGTGTCTATATAGTATATATTTACATATACTATATGAGAGGGGACCCAAAAAGACCCTGGAATTATCTTCTGGAGGATGGACCCCTTGTAGTACAGGCCTCCCCAGCTAGGTGAGTGTTCTAGGAACCACTCTGTATCAGTGAACCAGCTGGCATTGTGAGAGGCTGTGTTCGGCCTCCGTGAGATTTTTTTGAAGACTTTGAGCACATTTGTGTATTTTGTGACAGATTATGTACAAGCACACCTGTCCATACTGTGCTGAGTGTTCAGCAGTTTTTGACCCAAAAGGCCATGAGCCCTGTGCCCCACCCTCCCTATTCACCTGTCTCTCCCTGAGTGATGTTTCCCCCCTTGGATAAAAAAAGTCCTCAAAGGGAAAAGTTTTGCTGATGTGGAAGACGTGAAACAAAACTAGCAGAAAGCACTAGAAGGCATCAAAATTGATGAGTTAAAAAACTGTTTCGAGCAGTGGAAAAAACATCTTGATAGGTATATTGCATTAAATGGAGAGTACTTTGGAGGTGACTGAAATTTAAACATGTAAGAATACACAATTTTTTATAAATAAATTCCATTTTTGGTCCCTTGTGTACATTATATATATATATATATTCTATGTAGAGAATTTATATATAAATATAAGGTTTACATTGTTTATCTCCCCACAGTAGATACAAATTCCATGACGATTGGGAATTTCATGTTTGGTTCACAGCTACATCTCTAGTGCTAAGAATAGTCCCTGGTAAATAATAGTAATCGATAAATATTTGATGAAAGAATAAGTAAACCAGGAAACGCCTATTTCTACACTAACATGTGTCCCAGACACCACTTAAAAAAGCATATTAAGAAGGTGGAGTGACCACCTATGGCAAATGATAATAAAAAAATCAAAAGAGATGAGAACAGAGAATTGACCACTGGATATGGCAGATGTGGAGGTCATCAGTGAACTTGACACAAGCTGCTATGATGAACTAGAGTAGAGCCAAAACTAGGGGAAAAAGCTAAAGATAGTACAGAAAATTCTTGCAAGTATTCTCTCTTAACAAGAGGCCACTGCATCTGGTGGTACCTCTTCCCAGGATGCTATACCTTCACTCATTTGTTCTGATGACTGCTTCTCTCTGTTTTTCTTAAAGACCCAGAAGAGGTATTAGATTCAGT